GAGGAGAAGGAAGCAATGGAGCAATGGCCGAGGGCGCAGAAGGGGATCCCGACTGAGCCTCGGAGGAAGCGCCGATGGGCGCGGACGAGCGCCCGAACTGCTGGCCACAGCTAGTCCGAGTCACCAGACTCGGGCAGTGGCTGCAGCACGGGGGCCGAGGGGGAGAGGGGAGCCGAAGGCGCGGGCCTGCTCAGCGCCGCAGCATCGGCTCGCGGCACAGGGCTCCGACCCTCCTCCTCCTCGACCCCGCGAGCGACCCCGACCCCCCCATCCGCCACCCCCGCCCCGACGACAGTGAGCGTCTGCACGGCGGCCTCAGGGGCAATCGGGGCCAGCATCAGCGGGCCGAGCGCCTCCCCCGTCTTGGGGTGGCGGCCGCGCTGGGCCTGCTGCAACATTCGCTGGACTCTCTCACTTCGCGCACCACCCCCACCCGCTCCCGACCGAACTCCATCCCCCCTGACGATGCACGCGCGCTTGAGGCCCGCAGAAAACCTCTGCGGGCGCACGGCGTGGGCCCCGCAGCGCGTGCAGATCAGCACACGGTCGCATTCCTGGACCAGGTGTCCAGGACCAACGTCCTGGGGATCACACAGACGGGAGGAGAGGGACTTCAGGGAGGACGGGGCCGAGGCCTGGCGCCAACAAACAGTGCACCCGATCGCGCCAGCAGGAAACAGGGCGAACGCGTGGGTGGTCGGCTTGCGCTGGCGGGGGGCTTTAGGGGCAGGCGGTAGCGGCCGATGGACGACGGGCGATGCCATCATGGCCACTCTGTGGGCGGCAAAAGCGAGACATCTCATCCGCTGTTTCGCCTGCTCCATCACAAACTTATGCGCGCGAATGACAGAGGAAGATCCAGACAGATCGAGCGCGGCCATCTTCGCGAAACAGTCAGCCCACATGTTACCGAAAAAATTATCGATGGGCTCTCCCGAGGAAATGCAAGACGCAATGCCTTCATCCACGGACCTGTGAGCACGAGTCCAGGAGAAACGGGCCAAACGATCTAAATCTCTTTCAAACAGAGCGTGCAACTGCCTCCAGACACTCGCATGGGGAGCTGTCGGTCGAGCATGCCTGCCAAACCAAAGCTCCCCCTCTTGCGCCAGAGCCAGGTGATCGGTGACAAACTCAGACGGCCTGGACGCCAATTCGAGACCTCGGAGGGCGGCGACCCTTTCGGCCCTGGGAACGGTTTGAATCGGGCCTCCGAGGCCACCAAAAACAGCCTTGAACGGCAAAAAATTTGGCGTGAGGGCCACGACCGCCCAGCCACACCGCCTAGCCTCGGGGAAATCGCTATCCAAACAAGACCCGTCGCCAAAAAACTTTAGACGGCCACGGCACATCGCGGGCACCCCACTCTCGAACAGGCAGCATGCTGGGCTCAGGGGGCCGAAACTCAGGGCGCATCGGCAACGCGTAGAGCAGGTCGACAGCGGTGAAGTCCCACTCCGCACCAGCGCCCGTCTGGCCCTGCTCCCAAATGTCCTTCCTGACCTGCAGCACGTCCTCGGGGCGCGGGCCCTGCTCCTCCCCCTCCTGCGCCTCGTGCACGGTGCAGTAGAACATCTCGTGCTCGAGGTCGGCAGGCGCGTGACCACAGAACTCGCAAACTGCATTGTCCGTGTAACCTGCCTCGCGCCGACGGGCGGGCGTCCACATGCCGTCAGACTGAAGCTTTGCCAAAGCACCGCGCAGCCCGCTGGACAGCCTCTGCAGGTGACCCTGGCGAAGGGCTCGCATCCAGATATGCCTTCGGCTTCCGTCTGGCCGCCGAGCAGGGGCTCCAGGCAGATGGTCCAAAATACGATGGCTCTGCCAGCGCTCCAGGCTCAGGTACATGTAGTGCTGGACCTCGCTGGGACAGACCCTCAGCAGGTCGATGCCGACACCCGCGTCGTCCACGAGGACCGTGGCACTGGCCATGTCCCACCCAACTCTGCGCAGAGTGAGCCAGAGCGCAGAGATGGGACCCCTAGCACTGGCCCAAGTGACAGCACCGCGAGCATCCTCGAACTGGTCTCTCAACGCCATCCAGGCCCTCTGCAGCTTGGCGAGAGAGCCGCGCGCGGCCCACACCCACACCGTGTACTGCTGCAGCAGGCTGCAGGTGGCGTGGTAGATCGGGTCGAAACTGCGCTGCTTCTGAACTGCCAGGTACAGTGCGAGGGAGCCGCTGCCACTGAAGCCACAAAAACTGCCTGCCAAGCTGCGCATCTGCTTCAGCTCGCCGTCGTTGATGCCGCTGACAGCCGCGCCGTGGCCGACCGACGGCAGCACGCCGGTGGTCCAGAGGCGCGCCGAGCGCCAGCGTCCAGCCCCCTTCTGCAACGCCTTCAGCCGAGGGCGACGAGCATCCATCTTCTTGAGGCGATCCTTCTGGACACTGCGCACAGCAGCGCAGGCCGCGAGGTCGTGGCCCAGGTAGCGCATGTGACGTTTGCCACCAATCTGGAGCAACTTGGCATACTGCCTGAAGTGATACTTGGACTGCTGTGTGACGGCCAAGTGCCCCGATTTGTCCAACTGCAGGACCAGGCCGAGGGGTTTGACCGCCTCGCAGAACACTTTCGTGGCAGTCGCAAGCGTGCGGGCACCACGGGCATCGGCACCAGTCCACGACAAAGCCACGTCGTCCACCAGGTCACGTGGGCGAACCTCAGGAGCGATTCGAGCAGTCATGCGTAAAGTACGCGTCAGTAGCACCATCAGCAGCGTAGTGGCATGAGTGCACCCCGCCAGGATGCCCTGGTACGCACGCTTCGCCTCCGAGAAGGAATTGTACGCAAAAATCGTGCGCTCCTGCTGGTAGAGCAGCACGAGCATGTACGCAAGCCTCATGGGAAACAGATTGGCCCTGCACTCGTCCAGCAGCGCCTGGTGACGCACCAACTCGTAGCACTTGAGCATGTCGAGCAGCACGATCAGGGCGTGGTCGCCCGTGAGGTGGGCCGTCTCCTTCTCGAGGGCCAGATCGAAGGCAACGTCGGAGGAGGATCTGCCTCCCGTGTGCCCCCAGAACTCCTCGCTGGCGTTGTTCGCTTCCCACTGGGCAGAGACAGGCCGACGGGCCCTCCCCCACGCCCGAACGAGCGTGTTGAGGAGAGCGATCAGGCGCTCCCCCCCTCCTGGTTTGGGAAGTCGAACGAGCTTCGTCATGGGCCGAGCCTTGGGCCAGATGAGCAGCTGCTCGCAACGACAGAAGACGGCGGCCATCGCATCCAGGGCTGCGTCGGACAGGTGGTCCAACGCCCGCGGGGCAATCCTGACCTGCCCCGTGCCCGTTGTCCAGCTGAAGGCGCGAACCGCACGGCGTACGTCCCTGCCGCTGAGAGGTGGCAGCTGGCCCCACACCTGGTGGTCGCTGGGCAAATCAATCACCCCGTCAACGTGCCTCTGCCAGTACTGGTTCCAGTGCTGCACCTTACGATCGGCCAGCTGGTACGCGTGCTGGACACCTGCGCCGTAGTCGATCACCTCCTGGAGCGCCAGTGGCTTGGAAAACTTGTGAGCACGACTAGCGCCGCCTTCGAACGACGCCTCGGCCCACGCCTGCCAACTGGCGGCTACCTTACTCTCATGCGCCCGCTGCTTGCCCTCTGCCTTGACAATGATGCGCTCGATTTGCTGGTCGAAATCCTCCCGCACGAAAGCCAGGAGCCCAAGCACAAAAAGATCGACAGCCGCCTTATCAAGATGTGGCCAAACATCGGAGCGAGCAGCAATCCTTTTCAAAAAATACTGGAACTCCAAAATGTGCCTCGCGGTCTTGTCGCACAGCTTGCTGCAGTAGACCCTCGGACGGGGGCGTGCTCCAGCCGCTGCCGCCACCGCGCAACAGGACGCAGCCGCAGACGACGCACCCGTAGCCGAGGAAGTCGGTGGCGATGGCGCCTCCGTCCCTGAGCAGTTCAGCCCTGGCAACAAGAGAGCAGGAGGGTCGGACAGCTTCGTGATGAACGATGCGAGAGCAGTGCGGACACGTCGGAACTGCCGCGCCCAACGCGCTGCAGCAAGCCAAGCTGCCACGTCGGGCGCCTTTCTCTTCCAAGACTGCCTCTCGTCAGGGTCGAACCTGGCCCACTCGAACGTAGGTGGCGCAGGCGTGGACGTGAACTTTGACACCTGCGGTCCGACGACATCGTAGCGGCCCTGCAGCTCGAACTCGATGCCCAGCAGCAGCTGGCCCCACACGTCGGCCATCTGCTCCGAGGAGGTCACCTGCCTGATCTGATTCAGCAGCGGGTCCCAGTCTGGCGGCGGCCTGGCGCAGCCGACCTTCGGCGCCTTGGTGAAACCCTTGGCCTGCACCAGCTGCCGAGTCCACATCACCTGCGGCTGGGCTGCCAACCTGAGCGTGACGGGCAGGTGCGGCCAAGTATCTGCCTCACCGACTGCTGCATGGCTTATCCTCGGCATGACCTGGCAGGCCACGAAGAAGAAGTCGATCGTGCGCCCAGGGAGGGCCTGCATGCAAGTCGGCACCGATGGCACAACCGCAACGCCATTGACCGGGTGCAGCCACGACAGCGAGCCCAACTGCTTGAGCTCCATATTGAAATCTCCTCCCACGATCCACGGCATCTGCAAAGTGTCGAGCACCTTCAGATACTGATACAACTTGAACAGGATGGCCAGGTTCTCTGGCGACAGCTGCTCGTCAACCCGCATATACAGAGAAATCATGACGAAACCTCGCTTGCCACCGCAGTTGACGTGCGCCGCCACCATGCGCCCTGGCTCCAACGTTGGCCCTTCTAGCGCAGGGGGGCCCTGTGATGAGCACACGCTTGGGCACCAAAACCGCCACGCCGCCCTGACTGCCAGTGCCCTGTCCAGGTAGCGCAGCCTCCCAGACACCGTGGTAGCCCTCGGCGAGCGCGTCCCGCTGGGCCTTGGCCAGGGCCCCTGGCAGCGCATGATGCTCCTGCACGGCGACGCACATGCTTGAACAATTCGCCAGGTAGTCAACCATGGGGCCGCCTGACGAGACATTGATAGTGGTGACACCGATAGACTCAGCCATTGCGATGGGCACGAGACACAGCCACAGCAGAAAACGAAAGGGCGCCAGGGCATCAGCAGGCAGCGACCGCCTTGTGCCGCTTGCGCCCGAGCTTAGCCATGATCTCCTCGATCCTGCGCTTGTCGCCTCCTGCACTGACGATCTCATCGGCGAACTCGGCGCTGTCGGCCTCGTCCTGCTCCATCGCGTCACACTCCGAAGGCGGGCTGCCGCCAGGCGCCCGCTGGTCCTCAGCAGCGGCGGCAGCAGCCGCAGCGGCTTCGGCCCTCTCCCGCTGCTGCTTGACCTTGGCCTCCTCGCTGAGCATCTTGAGGCGCCCCAGGTCCTCCTTGAGGCGCTCCGACAACCCATGCTCGGCGCCGAGGAAGTTGAGCACCTGGTCGAGCCCCGCCAACGTTTGGCCGAGCCCGACGATCGGCTCATCCAGCGGCCCTTTGCCGTGCTCAGGCTGGGGGGGCAGCGGGGCCTGGCTCTGGAGCTGCCGCTGCTGCTCCTGCAACTCCAGCATCTGGGTGTCGAGCGACGCCAACTGCTGCTGCGCCGCCTGCTCCTGCTCATGCAGCAACGCCAGCTTCTCGCGGATCCCCACGAGGCGCCGCTGCTGGTCCTCCTGCAACTTCTGCTGCCTGCTGATCTGGGCTCCGAGGTCACGTAGCCTCTGGCCCAAGGGGCGCGCCGCCGCCAGCTTCGCCTTGAGCTCAGATTGCTCCTTGACGAACGCCTCCTTTGCACGAGCGAGGTGAGGGTCGGCACTGCCCTCGACCGTCTTGAGCAGCTCGCCCAACTCCCGCAGCCTCTGCTTGTCCTTGTCGGATCCGCTGAGCTCCTCCTCGGCCTCCACGGGCGGGGCCTCCGCACGCTTGAGCTTCGCATTGGCGGCCGCCAGCTCCTGCTTGAGCTTCTGGACCTGCACCGAGTCCGCCCATGCAGAGAAGGACCTCCCTGGCCTGCGAAGCGACGGCAGCGGCGGCTCGCGATGCTCCTTGAAGCAAAGCCCCTTGCCCAACTTGCACTTGGCGCAGGATGTGGCGTCGGCGAAGTTGAACCAGGGAAGGCCCTTGGGCCCGACGCAGCTCTTGCAGTACCATTGCCGCTTGCCCTGCTCCGAACGGTAGTGCTGTGGCGCCATCCAGCAGGCTGGGTAAGGGTCCACACCTACCTGGTCCTCCACCAGGTCTGGTACCAGACCTCCCCTGGTCCTCCACCAGACCTCCCAGGAGGCCCTCCGGCGAGGTAGGGGAGGCCTCCACCAGACCTCCCCTGGTCCTCCACCAGACCTCCCCCAGGCCTGGTGGAGGGCCAGGGGAGGCCTCCAGGAGGCCTCCCCTGGTCCTCCACCAGGTCTGGGGGGGGGCCTCCGCCAGACCTCCCCCAGGTCTGGGGTCGCGGCCGTCGGAGGAGGGCTCGTGGACGACGGAGGTCTCCGGGAGGACCAGGGGAGGTCTCCGGCAGGCCTCCCCTGGTCCTCCCCCAGGCCTGGGGGAGGCCTCCGGGAGGTCTGGGGGAGGCCTCCCGGAGACCTCCCCCCAGGCTGGGGGAGGCCTCTGGGAGGCCTGGGGGAAGCCTCCACCAGATCTCCCCCCCCGGACCTCCCCCCAGGCTGGGGGGAGGCCTCCCCCAGGCCTGCCCCAGACCTCCTGGAGGCCTCCCTGGGAGGCCTCCCCCCAGCCTTGGGGGAGGTCTCCGGGAGGCCCCCCCGCAGGCGAGGGGGAGGCCTCCGGGAGGCGCCTCTCAGGCTGGGGGGAGGCCTCTTCCATCGGTTCCTCGCCCACTCCCCCCTACCCCTTGGATCCGGACGGGTCGGCAGGAAGGAAGGGGGGGGCGGCTTTGGGCTCTCTGGGGGTGTCCGCAGAAAGCGCCGCCGCTCGAGACGTCCTCACAACTCGGGCACTGTCGCTCGAGACTTCCTCATAACTCGTGCGCACCCGCTCGCGACCTCCTCGCCGACGCTCGAGACATCCTCGCAACTCGAGCGCGTCCGCTCGAGACATCCTCACAACTCGGTCGATTGGCCACCGACCGCCCGATTGGCCGACTCCCCGACTGGACGATTGGCCGACCAGCCGACCGGCTGACCGGCCGACTGGCCGACTAGCCGACCAGCCGACTGGAGGACTGGCCGACTGGCTCCGGGCGCCCCCCCGAAGGAGGAGCAGATCCGCTGCACTTAAGGGCCCCTTAAGTGCAGCGGGCTGTCTTGGCCTCCGGGAGCCCCCCCCCCCCGAATGACGATCGCACAGTGGGCCCCCCTCGCGCGGTCGCTGTCCAACCGCCCTCGGAGACCCCTCCCACCCCTTCCCTCCTCTCCTACTCCCTTTGGCCGACCCCTCGTAGTCCATCGCCTCATAATCTGTTTCACCGAGTGCCCTCAAAATCTGTTTCACCGAGTGCCCCGAGCCTCGTATCGAACAGTCAGTCCTCTGCCGCCGTCGCCTCGACGCGCCGCATTTTGCGGGCGTTGTGCATGTCCACGCAGTGGAGGAGCACCACGTCAAAGGCAACAGGCGAAACGTTGTTCAAGGAGTGCCTGACTTTGTTCAGGCAGCGCCACTGGCGTTCCATGGTTGCAGACCAGCGCCTCCGGCGCAGCTGCACCCGACAGGGTAGCTCGGCGTGGATTAGCATGTCTCGCAAGGCGAGGGCCGTGTACCCCGACACCGCGGGCGCCCCATGGGGTGTCGCGGAGAACAGGCGCGACTCAGCAGGGGCGTTCCACCCCATGTTAAGCAGGGCGTAGCGGAGGGTCAACGTCTCCTTGCGGAGCGCGGCCAAAACGCGCGCGCGGCCGCCCTCAGATCGGACCCACATGACATTGAAAGCCTCCGCCTGGCCAGCGGGCGCCGTCGGAACGAAGGTGAGCTGCAACGGCAGCTTCCCAGTAGCTACGGCGAAAAGAACTGCGCACGGGGGAGCCGAAGGCAACCCTTGGTCATTAATGTCGTGCAGTTGCAGCGTGCCGCCCGCGAGCCGGGCAACGAGGGCATCCCGCTCACTGTCGTCGACCACGGTCTCCTCGGTCCACTCGTAAGCGCGGCTGAACCGATCTGCGTGGTAGTGGCACCAACACTTCAGCTGCTTGTGCCCTTTCTGGTGCCACCTGTCAATGAAGCCTTGCAGCCTTTGGAGCTCCTGGGGGCCTCGCTTCAGGATGTGCGCGCGCAGGTGGCACCAGTCGTCGTAGCCCAAGACCCTCAAGGCAGCGGTCGCCCCCGTCAGCCTCTGCACGTAGGACGCGACCTGCGGGAGCGACTCCGCCACGTGAAATCGCAGCGGGGGCGCGACAATGCCGCACTCGAAAGAAGCTGCCAATACACCTCCGCTTCTGTATGCGCGGACGATGCCGCTCTCCTTCAGCGTGTTGCACCCCTCCCCCGTGGAGGGAATCGCACGGCGCAGCCGGTGTCTCCGGCGTCCTTTGCGCGGCCCACGTGCCGCCCGCTCTTCCGCCTTCTGCAGTGCCGACCGGCGGAGAGCCGGCTCTTGCGCAACATGAGCGGGCAAGGTGCACGTTAAACACCCCCGGCGCGGCAGGTTCGAGCAGAAGACCGGCAGCTGCGTCGGCGAGGGGGCGTGCGCCGAAAGCGGGATTGTGCAAATGCAAGCAGTGGGTTTCAACTTGCAGTTCCCGTCGACAATCATGAAGTCCGCGCAGTGCGCGGAGCAGATGGATGCGTGACGGGACACCCATTTGGCCATAAAATACTGGAACAGGCACGGGTGCGCCACGCGGAGTGTCTGTGTCCACATGTCCATGCCGCAGGCCCCGTCCCTCCTGTGCTTCGGGCAGGGGAGCCGGCACAGCGTGTCTGGGAGACGGGTGGCGCCCTCCCGAAGAACGTGGTCGTCCAGGGCGCCGCTCACCACGCCGCGGAGCACGATGAAGCGCTCGTACAGCTGCCAGAATGTTTTCGTGAAGCGGGAGTTGGCCTCACTGACGAGTGGGAGCGCCGCCCCTGTCCGTTCATGCCAAATGGCGCAGAACTCGAGACTCGAAACCCCGCAGGCGCTGAAGAGACCGTCGAACCATAGTCCGCCGGACGCCGATCGCGTCCAAGGGCGCGCACGGCACCGGGCCAACTCGAAAGATCTCGGGGCCAATCTGGGCAGCCGCGCCACGCTCTCCCATCCCCGATGCCCCCCAATCATTCCTGGGGGGCGCGGGGCGGGGAATGGGGATAGAGGGAAGCGGGGTCCGGGGGAAGAAGACAAGGGTGTCGGCGACATGTCGGTGGACGGCCACAGAGGACCTCTGTATCAACCCACGTGTGCGGGTCGAGCGCTAGCATGGTCGGGAGGTCGTGGATCCTCAATCCCGCGTACTCTCCGATCACCCCACCTTGAGCCCAATAGGGCCAGTACTCTATTTTGCACGCCTCGCACCACGCCACAAACACAGTGCCCGTCTCAGCCGTTGCCATGCTGTACACATCGACCTCGAACTTGTCCCGCTGGACGAGGGGACCATCGCACCTGGCGCAGCTATGCCACGGACAAGCTCCGCACATGGATCGCGACGTCATGCCGGGTGCGGCGGCGAGGGCCGAGGTCCGAATTGCAGCCTGCAGCCGGCGCAGACCTTACACCAGCCCCGTGCGGCCAGCACAAACACTGAGGGCATGGAACGCCATGCCGCTGCGACGGGAGCCCGCTGCGCCGGGATCGCGGATACGCAGCAGCCACGCGACGCTTGAACATGTAAACGCAGCGGCCGGAGGTCGGAGGTCGAGCCAGGCAGGAGCGCTCCAGGGGTACCCCAAGAGCACCCTCCCCCCCACGACCCACTGACTGACTGACTGCGGCCCCCCCCCCCCCCCCGCGGCCAGTCAGAAATGCAGTCAGTCAGTCAGCCAGTCAGTCAGACAGTCAGTCAATCGCTCCGGCAGAAAGTCAGTCAGTCGGTCAGTCAGAAGTCAGTCAATCAGTCAGTCAGTCAGTCAGAAACTCAGTTA